ATGTTTAAGGTTCTTGCTTATTAGTTAAAAAAATGAGGAGGTTTTGGGTAACAAATTGTAAATGCGGGGATCTTAGAAATGGGTTTCAAAAAATACTTTTCAGCATGAAATCATTTTTACCTAAATGGTCAACTAACTCCGGTGGTTCGGATTTAATTTAAAAATTGTTGAAAAATGACGCACTCTACTATATGTGTGTGTGTTTGTTTGTGTGCGTGCGTGTGTGTGTGTTTGGGTAAACAAGTAAAGTAAGTTTGTTTATATTGCTGTTATATGCGTATTTTTTGCTTTATTAAGTCCATGTTTTAATACAATCTAATACAATATAAAAAATATTTTCGTTGAGAAAAAATAAATAATCAAAACTTTGGTTTAACAGGTTCTCTGAACAAAAATCATCTCCAATTAGTTTAAACGTTGGCGTCAAATATTACTTGGAACTCAATTTGGTTAATGGCAAAGATGTTGGGCATAGCGCTGTTGGTGTTATAATGCCTAATGGTGATGTTGTGGCGCCAATAACTTATGACTATCTTTCGGCAAATTAGTTTTTTTTAGTCATTTGTTTCTAAAATGAATGAATTATATACTGCTTGTATTTTTTTAATATACAAGCAGTATATAATTCATTCATATATATATATATATATATATATATATATATAGTATTTGAAATAATAATAATTTTAATACTTTTTGCTGCGGGTTTTTTTTATGAAATTTTAATAAATATATCAAGAAAACTTGTTAATAAAACTTTTTTAAATTTATTTTTATCTAATTTTACACTTTTTTTAAATTTTTTATAAATGTAAGTTTTTTATTTGTTTGTTTTTTTTAATAAATATAACATTTTATAAACAATTTTTATTGTCTTGTAGTTTACTAGCATTTTAGTTTTTGATTTAACAATAGTTTTTTTTAAAAAACAAACTGTTATACAGGAGCGTTTCAAAGTTGAGAAACGCCATTTTTTCAATTTTTAATGCATAAACTCTTTCAATTGATATTTTTGCCAGAAGTGCCTAATATTATTTCAACTTAAAATACTAACCACAAAAATGTTATTGTTACGGGTGATTTAGTCGTGGCAATGTGTGGGTCCCATTCATGCATAGAAGGTATAACTAGAGTGACCATATTCCCGGTTTTTACGTAGGTGAGCGCAGCGCCAAACTAATTAAAATTAGTTTAGCGTTTTTCTCTCTTACGTAAAAACCGGGACAATGGTCACCCTAGGTATAACAGACCTGAAAGTTTATTTAGACATCATTAAGAATGTTATGCTGGCACATTAAAAGTATAAAAATGCATATGTAAATTGTAAATGGATCTTACAAAAAGATAATGTTAAAAAAAAAAAGTACTTGAATGACCTTAACAAAGCCCAGATCTCAAAAAAGTTTGAACTTCTTTTGCACGCTACTGTGTAATTGCGCAATAAGAGCTCCTGAAATTAAAATTGTAGTATTATAAGCTTTAAAACTCTCGAGAACATGTCAACTCCTGGTCAAACCTTCCTGGTCAAATGCCTAGTGTTTGACACTTTCTTTATGATCCGAGCAGCTTGAATAGTGATAATAGTAATGTTTACCTTTATGAAATATTTAATAAAAAGAAAAGAAATTGCGAGGAAATTTTTTGACAATACGACTACAAATGCTAGAAGCTTTTTGTACTAACGCATTTTTTTTTTTTGATGAGTTCATATCTATGTGTGAGTGTTTATTTTGAATCAAGATGTTTTGTAACTTTGTTTTTCCATCTTAATTGATCAATGATGCCTTATTGCATCAAAACCAAATATAATCAAAGTTGCAAAATTTGGTTTAAGTTGCTATTGTTTCAAATAAAAGTTTTTTAACATAAAATTTCATATTTGGCCAGTGAACGGTAATTTGTTCTTTTGTTTACAAAAAAAAAGTATTCATGATTCGGCTATACCCTGCTTATAAAATTCCTTTTTAAGATCATCAATGTTGGTGGGCAAATTATTGAAATTCAGGGGCATTTAAAAATACACGAAAAATCTCGAAGAAATTTTAATTTTATTTTTGAAAATTACGAAAACTAAACTTTAATTTTTTAATGTAGAATTTACTAAAAATATCTAAAAATTAGATTTTTTTTCTCTTAAAAAATTCTTCTTTAGGCAAATGCGTTAGTTTCCAGTTTTTCAAAATTATTTCACTTTTACTTAATAACTTTACAATTTTGGGTTTGATAACACACGGGCCGTGGTGTACTTGTTATAGTTATGGCTTCAGAATTGGAGGTCTGTGGTTTAAAGCCGGCTCTGGCTATATATGCAACATTAGTAAGGAAGGAAGCGTTAACTTCTAGGTTAAATTCATTTTTACTGTGATTAGACCGGTAAGAATTCTTGAAGCACTTAAATAAGCGATATATATATATATATATATATATATATATATATATATATATATATATATATATATATATATATATATATATATACATATATATACATATATATACACACACACTCTCACGCGCACACACACATATACACACACACACACACATATTTTATAGGATTTCAAATCATCAAAGAAATTATTCCCTTTTTTATCAATTAGTAAAACTCATTCTCTACAACAAAGTTTCCTTTTTAGAAAGTAGTTTCCAAGCCTACTACTTTAACTCGTTGGAATGATATGAGACGCTTTGCTGACAAAGACTAAAGCCAATCTCGAATTCTTAACCGATCTTGGCATTTATTTGTTCATCGAGAAAGGGCTACACTATTAAAAAACTTGCCGTAGATTTTGCGGAGATTGTCCGGCAGCAAAGTGACAGCACTTTCTTCGTAAAAATTTACGATTTCCGTTGCTTCTATTTTCCGTAAAAATCAACGGAAAAAGTCCCTTAAAAAAGTTACAGAACTTTCTGCGTAAATTTTACGGTTTCCGTATTTCATTTTTTACACATTTAGTTAACTCATTTATCAGAGTTTACGCTAAAGTCAAAAATAAATGAATAGAATTTATGTTATTTTAAAAATGCAGATAATCAGGATGTAGTGATGTATATATATATATATATATATATATATATATATATATATATATATATATATATATATATATATATATATATATATATATATATACATATATATATATATATATATATATATATATATATATATATATATATATATATATATATATATATATATATATATATATATATATATATATAAAATTGTAAACAAAACTTAAACTTAAGTTTTATTTACAATTTTAAAAGTAAATGAATAGAATTTATGTTATTTTAAAAATGCAGATAATCAGGATGTAGTGATGTATATATATATATATATATATATATATATATATATATATATATATATATATATATATATATATATATATATATATATAATATATATATATATATATATATATATATATATATATATATACTCCTTTTTGATCATTAGCGGGGACTTTGTAAAAATGTATATTTTCGGGGACATTTACATAATTTAATTTTTTTCATGAAATATTCGTTTAAAAAACTTTTTTTTTATTTTTTTTTACCCTATACAATAAGCGTGTTTTTTGTACTTGATGACATCTAAATATATATTTTTTTTGTAAAAAATGGTCCCCGTAAATTTTTATAACTTTAGATGTGCATTTTCGGGGACATACAAAAAATGTGTATCTTCGGGGACAAGTAAAAAAATGTGCATTTTCGAGGACAATTTCAAAAAGTTCACATAAAGTGGAGAAAATTTACTTTTTTCTTTTAATTTTGCGTTTTATTTTCGGTTTGTGTTGATTTAACATATGATTTTAGTTTTTGCTAGGAGTTTGGGGTTTTTTTCCAAAAAATTGTTTTATTTTTATTTGTACAAAATCTATATACAAAATTTTGTGGATTTGCGCGAACTTTTTTTTTTGGCTCATAAGAAAACTGTCCCCAAAAATGCTATTATACAAATTCGTGTTGTAAGTTGAGCAAATTTTTTTTGTGATAAATACTTTACAAAATTTAGTGAATTCAAGGGTACATTTCGTATAAGTTTAGCATTAAAGAAATGTATCCGTAAATACACCAAATTTTGTAAAATATTTTTTACCATAAAAGTTCTCTTTAGAGCATTTACGGGGACATATTCTTTTACTCAAACTAGCAATTTGATTATTTTTGGCGACACTTATTTACGTATATCCTAAGATAATAATTTTATATTTGCTTTATTTTTTGGATGAAGTTAAGGACCTCTTTTAAAAAAAATTTTGACCTAAGACAACTTAAATTTCTTTAAATTACTTAAGCACTCTTAAAAGCCAATTAGAAGATTTGTAAAGGTACCAAAAATTCTTATTTTATTCTAGGATTGCTACTAGCATTTAATCTCAAGTAAAAAATCCAATCTAACTTCTATTTTGAATATTTTCACTAGTATAAAAAGAACTTAAGTATTGAATAAAGCATGTTTATTTTACTTAACTAAATAAAAGTAACCACAGAAATCATATTTAAACTACCTTCTCAGCAAGTGTAGATTCAGATCATGTAGTAAGAGTGGGGGGGGGGGGATACGACGACAGGGACGACGATCCCCCTCCCTCAGTAAACTTACCGGTATTTTCAGCTCAATATTGATACTTTAAAGAAGCAGTTTAATTTTTACATAAAAATAAAAAGCAGACCTGGTTGTCTTTAAGCTTTATCTTCTTAAGTATTTTTTCTTAAATAAAATTTAAGAAAATATTACAATTATACTTTGGCATCAGCCATTTTGAAAACCATCCTGTAAAGCTAGCTCGTCTCATGACTTATATTCATTTAAAATAAAAGCCCACATTTTCAGTACGTATAACTATTATTTCAATACTTTTATTTCAAGATCGACAACCGTCGTGCACTTTTTTTTTCAGATATCAGGAAGCCGACCTTTACAGACGGAAAAATGGATTTTGCTTTGAAAATTATAAAAGTTTAAAATACAAAAAAACTTAGCATTCATGAAAAAACTATAAATATATAAATATATATTTCTTTCTGCCTATAGATTCATAGCATGGATTCGCTCTCTTGCTGTATTCTCCGATTTTATTTTTGCGGCTCTTAACTTTAGTCGCTCGTTTGTGAGTTTTGTTCTAACTTTGCCGTAATCAAACGGTATTTCACATATAGATATAAACTTTTCTATATGCCTTCGATCTAAGAGTAAAATAGGTTTACATAATACCATCTGGTTATAGATAATAGAAATATTGTTAAAAATTATTAAAAAACTTTTTAAAATTAAACTTATAAAACAACATTTTTTTTTTTTACAAAATCATGTAAAAATACAAGTGGTTATTCGTCAAATACGTCAAAGCGCTACGCCAAGGATGGGCAATCTTCTTATAGTAGTAAACTTTTTTTAAAAAATCAACCTTTTGTGATCTTATAATTTGGCAATGAAACGTTGAATAATTTTTCAAAAGTATCGAGTGAGGGAGTAGATTACGGAAAAACTATTATAAGCTTACTAAGCATACTATTTATACATTTTAGTCTAGTTCTCAAAAAAAAAATTAAACTATTTAATCAAATAAACATTAAATTCGTTGAACCAAAGAAAATAGAGTTTTTAAAAAACCTTTTGATAATATTAAATGGATAATAAGCAATTAAGATTTAAGTTACCTGGCCATTCACGTTCTTTGTCATTTAAAAAAGAGGCAAACCATTCCAAAAGATCATTGGTTTGCTTTTTGTTCCACTGTGTGTAAAAACGATTATTATCTATAGTAAATAAAAAATGTTTTTTTTCAGTTTTCGTTTTTCACTCAAGAACATAATAATCAACATGTATTTAATTTAAGTAAAAAGGTTTAAAAAACTTAAAAAGTAAAAAAACACATAAACAATTGAAGAATACTACAATATGCATGTAATCAAAGATTTTGAGGTTTAAAAAATAATTTAAAATAATTTAAATAAAAGACAACTATTTTAATTTTATAAAAAACATATATATTATTTATTCCATTAAAGAAAGTTTATTACCAAAATCATTATAGGCTGTTGCAGATTTATAGAGTTCTGCCTCCTTTCCATCATTATTATTTTTACCTGAAGAAAAAAAACTCTATTATTTTCAATTTTTTAGAAAATGTTTTTAGCTAACAGAACAAGCCACAATAATAATAATTTTTTTTTAAAAAAAATCTCCGTTTGACAGCACAGTTTTGCCGGTAAATACTTTGGTTAGCAATATTCTTATCACTAGCCAGGCGTGTTTGTAAACTGCAACAAATCTTTTTTGTTCATATATATACATATACATGTATGTTACACACATATATATATACTTTTTTTTTAACATCTTCGCTTCCAACAAGGCTGCAAGCAACCACTAATTAGTGTTGGAAGTTACTGGAAGAGAGAAGATAAAGATTGTAGAGCAATAATAGAATGAGTTGCCTAGTCATAAAAACAAAGACACAAGGAAAATACATGCATCGAGTCAAGAAGATCCAGCGTTCAACATCCTAAACTGGAAACAATGTGTTAAAAATACATCTGCGCCAGCCTAATAGATGAAAAAGGGGTGCGAGGCTGGTCAACAGATAGAATCTGTTTACCCCTTAAGCCTTTGCCTAGGAGGTCTTCAACAAGACAGCAGCCGGATGCATTTAACATCTGCCCAAGATGAGTATTTTTATTGATACACCATCTCTAGCCTTTACTCAACCAAGAGCCCCAAGGCAGGGGGTATTTTATGTCGGAGTTTGCATCTCCTAGCCTTTGCCTAAAAAGGCATATCCTACAAGGCAGCAGGACATGAAGCAGATTGTACTGGGCTACATGTTATCAGTAGCAGTATAAACCTGACCTGACCAAGGTCAGGTTTATCCTGCTATAACCATATGTATATATACCATATGTATATATATATATACCATATATATATATACATATAATATGATATATATACAACCATATGTATATATATCATATATATATACATATGGTTGTATATATATCATATTATATATACAACCATATGTATATATATATGATATATATACATATGGTTGTATATATATCATATATATATACATATGGGCCACTACAGTCGAGGAGGCTACTCATTTTTTTAAATTTTTTTGTTTTAATTTATTTTTTTTTAATTTATTTTTTTTTAATTTTTTTTTTTTAATTTTTTTTTTTTGTTGTAATTTACAACAAAAAATAAAACAGGGTACAACCTTCTCTTAACTCTTTAACTCCAAAACACAAACCTTGACAAGCAAGGCCGCTGCGCAGAGAAATTAAGTTGAGCGCGGTACTGCCAGGGACATGGTGGGAGTCAAACTCCGAACCTCTCGCTTACAAAGCGAGCGCTCTTACCACTACACCACTACCGCAAAAATAAGTTAAAAACAAATAATTTGTAGAACCGTGCACACAAGTCTAACAACAACCAATCGGCCAGCGTTTTTTTGTGCACTTACATTAACTTTCAAACAATAAAGAATGACTATAAACAGCTCACCACTATTATCTTCTCCTTCTCTCTCGCTAGTTTTCAAATTTTTTCTCTTTTGAGAGCTTATCACTAAAAAATCAAATTAAATATGGACTAATCACTTGAGAATGAATCAATCTGCTATACCAAATGAAAGAATTTGAAGCATTTCAAATTTTTATTATTACTAAAATTAGTTCAAAACTTTTTTTTTATTTTGTTTAATACTTAGATGATAAATTGTGATAACACTTTTATTTATTTACATATCTCAAAAATAGTTATTAAAACCATCTGAAAACATTTTTACATAAATTAAAAACAAATAATTTGTAAAACCGTGCACACAAGTCTAATAACAACCAATCGGCCAGCGTTTTTTTGTGTACTTGCATTAACTTTCAAACAATAAAGAATGACTATAAACAGCTCACCACTATTATCTTCTCCTTCACTCTCGCTAGTTTCCAAAAAATTTTTCTTTTGAGAGCTTATCACTAAAAAATCAAATTAAATATGGACTAATCACTTGAGAATGAATCAATCTGCCATACCAAATGAATGAATTTGAAGCATTTCAAATTTATATTATTACTAAAATTAGTTCGAAACTTTTCTTTTATTTTGTTCAATACTTTGATGAAAAATTGTGATAACACTTTTATTTATTTACATATCTCCAAAATAGTTATTAAAAACATCTGAAAACATTTTTACATAAGTTAAAAAAAAATAATTTGTAAAACCGTGCACACAAGTCTAATAACGACCAATCGGCCAGCGTTTTTATGTGTAATTGCATTAACTTTCAAACAATAAAGAATGACTATAAACAGCTCACCACTATTATCTTCTCCTTCACTCTCGCTAGTTTCCAAATTTTTTTTCTTTTGAGAGCTTATCTCTAAAAAATCAAATTAAATATGGACTAATCACTTGAGAATGAACCAATCTGCCATACCAAATGAAAGAATTTGAAGCATTTTAAATTTTTATTATTACTAAAAATAGTTGGAAACTTTTCTTGTTGTAACTCCTTTCAGGGGTCGCAAGAATAAGTTACTTTTTTAAATATATATAACTATATATAATTAAACATATATATATAACTATTTATATATATATATATATATAACTATATATATAAATATATATATATTTTTTTATTCTACAACTTTTGAATTTATTGGTTAATCAGATTTGAATAAAACAGTAAATGTACCTGGTTCTGAATATATTGAAGATCCGGTTTCACCTAAACAAATTTATATAAAAAACAAGGTTCAGTATAATATACTGTTACAACTACAACTGACAAACTATTGAAGACAAAGCCTTTTAAACCTGCCAAAAAAAATATAATTAGAAATAAACATTTTTTCTTAAAAAACTATATCAGGAAACAGTCTGAGTCACCTTGGCAAGTGGCTAAAATGTTTATTCCTAAAATCATTTTTAAAATTAAATTTAGTTATAAAGAAAAACTTGATGCATTTGTTTTGTTAAAAATTAAACATTAAACTATTTTACAGAAAGAACTTTTTCCAATTTTTTTAACTCAAAAAAAATTTTAAAATATTATCCCACAACTAAAAGTTTAACTTTTTAAAGCTGTAAAAAGTTTTATTAAATATGTAGAAAATAAAAAAATTGTTTTAACAATACTCAGATATAATATAAACAATACCAAAAATATGATTAATCATAAACTACTGTTAAAAAAAACTTATTAGCAATATACAACAATTTATATTTTTATCAAACCAATTATTACCTGCATCAATGGCTAATAGATGTTTTCCAACTTTTGTAATTTCTTCCAAAGCTAGAGGGGCTTGATAGAAATTAATATTCATTTGTTCAGAATGCCCCATATGAGAATAAAATAATTCCCTGTCACGTTTAGGAACATCTAAAGCAGCAAACAAAGTACTAATGCGATGACGATTGTTGGTAGCTATAATATCATTGGGATTTTTCAGAGGGAGACCACTACATAATTCATGGACAACATGCCAACCAGAAATGTGAGCATCAGAATCCTGAGCACTTGCAAAAAGAAATTTATTTTGAGGCGATACTCCTGCTTGTTCTCGAAACTCATTACTAGCAATTTTTATGATTGCATCAACAGTGTCTTGTGGTATCAGGACAGGGACAAGATGGTTGTTTCCCTTGCCTGTCATGTAAGCTATTTTCATTGTTTTAATAAGAAAATTTTCAAGTTTGCCAAGTTTATAAACTCTTTGACTGTCAATCCATTCATTGTTATAGGCTTGATTCCAATCTGTTAATAACATACGTGCAGGCTCACCACCACGCCTGCCACATAACAAAGTCAATCTAGCGCAAGCACAATTTCTAAGTTTGACATAACTGTGTAAATCATGAAACTCATAATCATCACATAACAGTTTCATAGTTTCCAAGATATAGTTCCGCAGTATGAGTAAATCTTGCTCTCTAGGCAGTTTGGCAGGTTTTCGCAAGTTGACTTGACTTCTAATGTTCAGTTTATAAGTTGCGTCACCAAAAAGATATTCTTGCCAACATTTTAAAGTATAAATAAATTTCTGGACATCTTCAGCTTCAGCGTCCATGCCTTTACTATAAAAAATGAATTGCATCACTGTAGCACTTTTTTTTAACAAGTAGTACAAATTCTGTTTTAATCCAGCTTTAATATCGGCATCATCTTTTTTGGTGTAAACCTCAATAACATTAGACAGCATATCAAAGTTTACTCGATTAAACATATCTAATGAGTTGTTATGTTTTTGTATAATTCCCTCTTGTTTTAGGAACAAAGTGTAACAGTGTGCTAAACGGCGCATTTCGTTGCGTATACTACGATACACTTCAACAGATTTGTCCTGCTTTTTATTCAATTTCCAAAAAAATTTTGAACCAATTTTCAGGATAGTTGGATCTGTTCTACAGACTTTACCAATTTTATCATTTCGAAACTTTCCTATAATATGAGTTATAAACAAATTATTGTATTGTGATGCTTCAGGCAACTCTGAAACAGTTAATGGAACTTGCACAACATGATCATTAGTTCTTAACTGACATACTTTTTTGTGCCTCGAGAATGTTCTTTTCACGACTACAATTTTACAAAAACTACATTTTGTCAAGTCTTTTTGTTTTTTTAAGGCTCTTTCTGAGATATACATAGGGAAATCTAAAATTGCTTGGTCCTTATTGTATTTTACAATTCCCTCTCTCCTAAATTGAGCAAATGCCTTGACTTGCAACTCTTTTGGAAGTAAGAGAGCTTCTTTTACAACTATCTCATCTTTATGTTTTCTTTTAATATGCCGTTTCAATTTAAATAAAGATTTTTTGCAGAAGACACAATAGCGTTGAGGTCTTTGACTTTTCTTCTTCTGTATCTAATAATAAATTTCATTTAATTCTTGTTATAAATCAGGGGTTCCCAACCTTTTTTTACTCTAAAGCATATTCTTGAATATCGGTAGGGTGGCGGGCTCCACCCATTTGTAATAGACAAACTCTTTCCTAAGCTTAATATTTTCCCATAAATTATTTTTTTAATTTAAATTTTATCCGTCTAAGCTCAGGATGTTAAATATAGAGAAGCCTTCAAGTGGGCCATACTTCTGGCCGTTTTGACCTAGGGTTTATAGCCTACTAGAGGTGCTTCCCCACCATTCTAGAGCCCTGCATCACTCTGGTATTAGTTACGGGATAAATCTAGTTAAACCAGGGTTAAAAAAAAAAATTCAATTACTCAAGTTTTGATTAGGGTTGGGAACTCCTGTTCTAAATCATTATCAATTCAGAATATATTTACATAGTATAACAGTTAAATATTAAATCAAATTAAATAATACTGATTAAAACTCATTTTAGTTAATTAACTAAAATGAGTTTTTTCTTTTTCCATTAAACTCAAAAACCATCACTTATATAGACAAAATTATTTTAAACTTTATAATACAACTATATTAAATTTTATATTAAAAAGGTTATGATAAAGTTGAGTTTAAAGAAAATCATTCCTTCAAATTGAATTGTACTCGTGGCCATAACCTAAAATATTCTGAAGAATTTTTAGTACATAAAGAAAATATTTTATTAAATATTTTAAATAATAAATTAAATAAATTAAATAATAAATTAAATAAATAAATTTTAAATAATAAATTAAATAAAATATTTTATTAAATATGTTTAGTACATAGAGAAAATATTTTATTAAATCGAGCAAACTCTTGGAATGCAATACCTGAAAATGTTGTCAAGGCTACTTCAACAAATTAATTCAAAGCAAGACTTAATCAATAGGTCAAACCATCACAAGATTTAGCTGTCTTAGTGTGCTTAAAAGCACACTCACTGGTGTCAATACCAGTCACAGCATAAACTAATACCATTACTAACTGTGGTGGTTAACTCTTGAACAAATTTGTTACTGAACTGCTTTAACTAAATAAAATAACTTCTATAACTTTTAACTTAATAACTTAAATAACTCTAAAATTTTGCCCTTATAACCTGAGATAACTTAATTAAATTTGTTATCAGTAAGATATCAATTGTGGAGCATGCCTTTCCCCCCCCCCCCCTCCCTCATAAAAAAAAAAAAAAAAGCATGCAGATTTGGTATGAAAGAGGTCAAAAGGTGCAATAGCTAGTTCAAATCAGAAAAATTTGAGTATCTGGAAGTTACAGGAGATTTCTTTGATTGGCTGACAAGTCGTTTATACAAATGTTTTTTACTGATTTCAAAATTTTTTGTCAACTCAAAATTTTTTGTCAAATTTTTTGTCAACTCAAAGTTGCTAAATTTCGTTTAAATCTAACTTTAAATCTTGCTCTTTAACCTTGCTCTCTGTTTTCTGTAACTCCCAAACTAAATAGTGGTTGATTATTAGGGGGTTATTAAGTTAAAAAAAATAACATTTGAATGAACACCTGTAATAGGTTGGAGATGAAAAAAAATATGAATACTGTTCAGACAAACTAAAGACAAACTAAAAAGATATTATGGTTAGATGACTCACATGAAAATATGTAAAAAAAAAGTTATCATTTTTGCAACAAATCATAATTATTCCATCATGCTGTGAAAAATATATTTGAAATTACAAAACTATGATGGTATTTTTCATATCTAGAAATTTAATTTCCTTTAATTTTCAAAAATCAAATGAATAACTGCAGTAATAACAAATATATTAGCTAAAGTAAAATAGAAAAGTTAATTTTTAATTCTTAAAAATATACCTTTGTATCAGATAGAACTCCGAATAAATCTCCATTCAAAGAATCATAGCAACTTGAAGTAACCCATTGTCTATAAAAAGTTATAAAACTTTAAATCCCTGTTATTTCCAAAATAAACACAATGCAGCATAATCATCATCAAATACAATTGATAAAACTCTTTTGCTATGTGTTTAACATTACTTACTCAACTTGGGGTTCTCCCTCATCAACCAATTGCAATAAATCAAACTAAAATATAAAACACAACGTAAATATAGTGTATTGCAAAATAATATAAATAACATCATTTCAATTAAAAAAAAATTATCGTTATTATTTTTATTTTTGAGTTTTACATCCATGAATCCAGAGTTTTTATTGTTTTTTTTTTAAGGTTCAAACGATATCACTAATGGTATATTTCATATCTAGAAAATTAACTTTGTACATCTTGATCACATTTTGTTTCCTTGCTTTGGACGGGTTTATTCACTGGAATAAGAAATTTATTCAGTATACTATCCTATAAAGAAAAGGAAAATAAAAAATCTTTTTTGCATCACTTTAATTTATACATTAGATAAAACTAAAAATTAAATTTCAAGAACTTACAGTTTCGAAATATGAATCAGATTTAGAAACAAATAAATCTTCTACCATAACACAAGTTTCTTTGATCACAGAAACCTATAGTTTTATAAAAAAAAATTATTAACATTAAAAACTTTGTATTCTGTCAGGTTTTGTGACGTAAGGATAATCCATAGGTCTCAACTTGTTAAAAATCAGTAGAGGGCCATGGATTTTTGTGGCAAAAAATTTAATTTAATACGTTGCATATGCTATTTGTAAAAAACATTAGATTTACTGAATTTATTTATTATTGTACAGTAATACAGCGTTTTGGCCACAAGAGTCTTTGCTTCTGGAACATAATTGAAACATTGTAGTTAAAAAAATTTGTTTTGTATGTCAATAATGATATAGTTGTTACTTCTTTTGATAGAAACGCTCTGAATTTGGTCTTGTTTTTTGCAACTGTGGAGAAAATCTGCTCCCCAGGATTTTTAAACACTTTTGTGGGTCAGCAGGTTAAAAACAGTTTATGCAGGTCTAAACTATGAATCAAGGGTCACTTAGGGCCTATGTAATCTGACTTACCCTTACATCAAGTAATAGCATTTATGTCATTATGAATAACTGTCTAAACCACACAAGTGTGGAAAATTGGATTAAACGTACACAAAAAAAATTTTGTGTTTCTATCCTTATAACCTAAAAAAAGTTGTTGTTTTAAATATTAAAAAAAAATTTTTTTGAGCAAGTTTTACAAAATTAAATGTTGTAATGCTCTAAGTTGTTGTTGTAAGTTGTTAATATATGTTGTAAGAAGATTTATCATTTATAACTTTTATTAAAATTCAAGGACATTATCACTAATGGTATATTTCATATCTAGAAAACTAATTTTATACCTCTAGATCACATTTTGTTTCCTTGCTTTGGACAGGTTTGTTCACTGGAATAAGAAATTTATCCAGTACACTATTCTATAAAGAAAAGGAAAATAAAACATCTTTTTTGCATCACTTTAATTTATACATTAGATAGAATTAAAAATTAAATTTTATGAACTTACAGTTTCTAAATCTGAATCAGATTCAGAAACAAATAAATCCTCTACCATAACACAAGTTTTGTTGATCCCAGAAACCTAGAGTTTTATATAAAAATAATAAAGTATTGACATAATAAATTTTGTGTTTCTGTCTTAAAAATCAAACAAATAATTTTTTTTTTAAATTATTTTACTTGGTCTGGAATGGCCGAAACAATATGGAAATCGATACTCTAATAGTAAAAAAACAAACATAATAAATATACAACTTTCAAAAATTATAGTAATAAAATTTTTAATACATTTAGCAGGTCATTAAACTTATTTTATATTACAAAAGTAAAACAAAACAATCAAATTATTTTTATCCGAGAGTTCAAATCTGATTAGGAAAATATTGAAGTGATTAAAATTTATAAAATTTATAAATATTTTGCCCTCCCCTAAGTTAATATTTTAAAATATTTTAAATATTTTATTAATAATAAAATTTTATCTAAAAAATCAGTTTTGAGTGAGGAACTCAGATCACTTGATATAAATTTTGGTGCTGAAAAAACAGCCTCTCTACATTTGTAAAGTAAAAAACTTTTATTACCAAAAAGATACAAAAGGCCTGTAAAATTACTACTTTACAGGCCTTTTGTATTTTTTTGGGGTATTCTTTAATTCCCTCAAAAGTTGGTTTTAACTTTTAAATTTCCTATTCCTTCTATTGCTCTACAGATGCCCATAAAATTTTATTAATATCTTTAAAATTAATTTAAATATTCAATTGTTGAATAACTAACTATCTTCATCTATTTATCTATTATCTTTATTTACCTATTAGTGAAATAATTACTTAAAAACCTCAATCAACTAATTAAGATGAATACTTATCAATAACACACACATTATCAATCAATAAATAAAAAGAGTATTAAAAATAAATAAAAATTGTAAAGATAAAAAATAACTAATACTAGATTAACTCAAAATATCTTTTTAAAGTTTTTCTTAATTTTATTTAGAACAGTATTCACATGCTTAAATCGATTTAAAAATGTTTCAACAAATGTAAAATATTTAAAAAAATCATGTGACTACATGGCATGTGAATACACGGATAAAATAAATTTCTGTTAATCAAATCATTGACAATGTTTCAAGGTATTGTTTTAAAGTGACTTATCATAACCCGAGAAATTGAACCATATCACATATTAAACTGTTGCAATAAAATTTATTTCTAAAGAAATGCCAAAAATTATTTAAAAACGCTAATACTTATTTTAAACAATTTTAAATACTTTATATAATGAGTAAAACTTTAAAAATATAAATTTCAAAGTTTAACAGATCAAATAAAATATTTAACAGTTTAAAATTGATCTATATATATTCAAGAAATTTAGGATATCATAAAAACCTGACTAGTGACTTTTTTATATACCATAATTTTTCAAAAATATTTTTTAAATTCTTTCACAAAATAATTTTTATAGTACTTAGATATGTTTTTTACAAAATAAAAATTAAATAGTAAGAAATATAGCAGGTCAATATTTATTGAAGGAGCTGCTATATTTCTTACTAAATGTAATTTTTTTATAATATGTTGTTGCTTAATATAAAAACATTTCATTTAAATAACTTTAAAAAAATACGTTTGTATCAGATAACACTCTAGAAAAATTGCTACACAAATCGCCATTCAATAAACCATAGCAACTTGAAGCCAGCCATTGCCTAAATGCAAAAGATGAAATTTTGACTTACAATGCATATTACCACTGAAATCTATAAATGGAGCGTCATCAGTAGACCAAATAAAATCAATAAAATTTTATTTTAATGTATAATTGTATTGCTTACTCATTTTGGGAATGATTTGGACTTAAAACATTGTTTTTCTTTTCAACAAACTGAAATGAACTGGACTAAAATATAAAAAAGTATGAAAAATAAATAAATTTTTTTAAATTTCTTTTAGGTGCCCCCAAGAAGTTCTTAAAATTTAGAGCACTGTCGAATAGGATTTAACAGGTAGTTGTTAAAATCTCCTTCCTTACTGATGTTGTAAAAGTTGATTAGAGGTGGATTTAAACCACAGATCTATTGTTTTTGAAGCAAGTTTACTAACTTCTGCACCATGACAGCTAGATACTTTAGAACTGCTAAATACTTTGACTAAATTATTTATAGTTATTTATAAAACTAAATTATTTATAGTTATTTATAAAAGTAATAAAATTATTTCTATTTTACCTTTTTCATACAAAATTCAGGAGAAACAGGAGATAAACAAGTAACATCGAATTGTTCATCAATCTATAAACCATAATAATTCAATATACATAGTGTTAAGCATTTACAATATTTCTAAAATTATAATTTTCTGAATATTATATTATAATATAAAAGAATATTAAAACTTTTATCTTCTTAAATTTTAATTATATTTTATCTACTCATAAAAAACTACAAAAAAGACTTTTAAAAAAAAATTATTATTTACATTCTTATTATTATCTGTGTAAATTTCTTTTGACAACTCATTTGAAATATGAAATACTTTATTGACACTTGCCACAACAGCACAATCCCAATCATTTTTGATTGACTAAAAAAAATTTTTTTGCATTTAAATTTTTTAATGCTTTATAAATAACAATAATATTTTCTCTGGAATCACAAAGCATACAATTCATTTATTTAAATATAAATATATATAAACAGGGGCGATTATACAAATAAAATGAGGGGGAAGGGGGATTTTTTAAATTTTGCAAAAAAAGAGAAAAGTCCTCAAAACTCTGAATCTACCAACTGGCCGACTAAGATCCTAAAACCAACTAAATGTTAATAATTAGCTACTCAGGGGGGCGAGTCACACCCTTTACACCCCTTTCCCGTAAAATCGCTATTCTAGGAAAAAAATGTGTACCTTTTTTATACAAAATTCAGGAGAAACAGGAGATAAACAAGTAACACCGATATGTTCATCAATTGATATCTATAAACCATAATAATTCAATATACATAGTGTTAAGCATTTAGAATATTTCTAAAATTATTAAATATTATAAAAACTTTTATCTTCTTAAATTTTAATTCTATTTTATCTATTCATATAAAGTTACAAAAAAGACTTTAAAAAAAAATAATTATTTACATTCTTATTATTATCTATGGAAATTTCTTTCGACAACTCATTTGAAATATTGAATACTTTATTGCCACTTGCCTCAGGAGCACAATCCCAATCATTGTCAATTGACTAAAATAAATTTTTTCCATTTAAATTTTTTAGTGCTATATAAAAATTATATTTTCTCTGGTATCACAATGTATGCAATTTATTTATCAAAAATATAAATATATATATATATATATATATATATATATATATATATATATATATATATATATATATATATATATATATATATATATATATATACATAATTATACAATGGCTTTTCTTGGAAAAATATTTGGACGACGATTACCAGTGATAATTTATTCAAGTGCATTTATTTCTTAATAGCTTTAGCTCATGATGTCATCGTTAAATTTTTACAAAAATCTTGAGTCTTAAATTTAAAAAATTGTTAATTTATTTTATTTATAATCATTGTATTCAATAAAAAAACATAATGAAAGATTACAAATATATAAATAAAGAATTAAACTTAAAAAACTAAAAAGACTTTTTATTTTAAATTTGTTGATATAAGTTTTATTTTTAATTACACAGCCTAGTTTTTATTATATATGCTAAATCATTTAAATTAACATTTAATTTCATTATTAATTTAAATAAATATTTTATTATTTATTTAATTTATTATTATTATTATTTTATAATTTTTACAATAATTTTGGCTTTTTAAACTCTTTAAAAAAAAATTTTAACAAAGAATTTATGTAGCATTTCAATGCTCATAGAAACAACTGCTTTAAACATTAATTTTTTTGTGTCATCGATTTCAATTGTTGCAAAAATTGGAGTCAGTTTTTTGAAATTGAAAAGTTTGTGAGAAAATTAATGTTTTATCTAACTTAAAGTTTTTAACAGCATGTGAATTAAAGTTGTCTAGTTTATAAAATTATTCAGAGAAAAAGTTTTAATAAATTTCATTTAGTAATAAATTAAATATAGATAAAATATATAATAAATAATAAAAAAATTAGATATAATTTATTGATTGTAGGTATAAAAATAAAAAAAAATAAAAACATTAATGCTATAAGTACTGTAACTTAAATTAAAGTAGGAATTAAATGCACTTGAATAAATTATCAAGTCTGAATATTGCGTCTGGAAAAACGTGTTTATTTTAAAGACTTCAGCTGCCAAAAAAAAATAAAGGTGAGCTCTGATTTGAAAAACAAGATTTGTTTTTCAGGTAAAGATTTATTATTTAGTTTTAATCATAAAGATTTTGCACAGTGTTTTTTTATAAAATGCTCTTTAATATGAAAATAAAATGTCTTAAAACTTGGTAATCCCTTTAAAGAAGATTTATGTTATTCAAAATTTTTGTTATTCCAACTAAATTCTTGTTTCCCTTCGAAGTTCAAAGAACCCGGAGTTTACTGAATATGTATATATATATATATATATATATATATATATATATATATATATATATATATATATATATATATATATATATATATATATGTATATATTATTTTTGTTAATTGCCTAGGTAATATAAATCTAAAAGTGAATTTAATTTAAGTAAATTTAATTGCCTAATGAATATAGAAATTCAAAATAATTTTACTTACAGACAGACTTGCTTGCTTCAAATCATCTAGTTTAAAGCTTTCTCTTGTAGACTTTAACTAATAGGATTATTTTTGATGAAAAATAATAAATAATTTTTTAATATGTAAGAAGATTCCATATATTTTAATTTAATTTTCACAGGTAAAAATGATAAAGTTTAAACACTTTAATAATATATACACCTTTCTCCACCATAAATTTACTGAATTGTAGTTATACCGCAACTCAGTGCCCTTTTCTATGTCTTTAAGTGCATACAAACATAAATGAGGCATGCCACAAAAAACTTTTATATGCATTGCACAATTTCCTGCTTTTGAGTCATTAACAAAAACTCCCAAATTGGTATCTTCAGTTCCATCAATGTTATTATTAAAAAGTCTTATAATTAAAAACTAAGTGATTTTTGCAGGAAAAAAAACTCATAGGTTATATTAATTTTTCAAATACAATTCTATGCTAGATTAAGGAGGGGAGGGGCTTGCAAAATTTTTTGGGACTGCAAAATTTTTAAGAGGACTTTGTTTTAGTCATTTTTAGGCCTAGGCACAAAAAAAAAAGACCATAAGTCCCGGATAATTCTTAATCAGCAACTGATAGTATTTATTATAGATTTATTAATTTCTAACCAGATTGAGACAAAAAAATAAAAAAAAAACAATAGAAAAAATAATTCAAGTCATTTAACTTACCAACATTTTTTACCCTGGAAAGTAAAAAAGTATTGGTAACAACCATTTCCAAGATTTTTGTGATTTTCTTCCAATAACTTTCCTTCTTGAGCAGTCATCATTTTACCCCGATATTCCAACAGAAACTCGCCTTTCTTTCTTGGCAAAAGTGTAAAAACTCCAAATCCTGATAATGTTAATATCCAAAAAACTCAATTCAATTTTAACATTTTAGCTTTTCCTTATAATCTTATTTAACTTTTCCTTATATTCTTAACTTTTGAATGAAATTGTGGGTTAAAAAAGAATTTACATAAATATGCATAATATTCATGCATATGAATTAATTATTAATGTTAGATAATTAGCTGAGTTAAAAGTTAAACATAAGTTTTATTAATTAGAAATTTAATTCAGGATTAAATGGAAATTAAAGTTACCAATCTCTTGGTTAATGTAATGTTTTTGGAAACCAGGTGGATCTGTCTGTCCTACATAGTTAATAGAAACATCTTCAACTTTTTTTCCGAGTTTAGGGTATTTATGCAGTTGTGGCTTGACTGCTAACTCAAGATTAACTTGTTCTTTTAAAATAACCTAATAATTTTAAATATTTATAGTTGTAATTTTATATATGAAGTGCTTTAGAAAGAGACTTAAAAGACGAAAAAAACACTATAGACAATTTTTTATTACCTTTTTTTTTATTTGATGAGATGGGTTTTTAGCCATACTATCAAATCGTTCTTTAAGCTAAATTTTTTTTTGTCAAATATAAATATGAAATTAAAAAAAATATATATATATTTATATAAAAAATTAAAAAATATATATATATTTTTAACTTATTATGATATTTTTTATTTAAAAATAAAAAATAATGCATAAAATAAAACAAAATAATTTCACCATCTCTGATGTTGGTCGTTTCGTAAAATCAGAATCCCAACATTCAATAATAGCTAAAATAACATGTTCACATTTGTTTGATGAGTATATTTTTTTCAGTTTTTTTATGTTTGGTCTTTTTCCATCAAGGAGAGCATTTAATAGCATTGTATCATTTAGTAATGGAAGAACTTCGTCCCAAGCAGAAGCATCAGATAGTATTTCAAAGGCAGAAACTCCAAAAGAATAAATATCACTTTCTTTTGATGGTCTTTGAACAATACACTGACACAGTTCAGGTGCAGTATAACTTAATGTCATACCCCTGAATTGAGAATACGTTGTACAGCTAGATGTGAATGTTTGTTTCAACCTCAAAAGCTCATCGAAGTCAGCTATTTTAACCACTAAATCTTTTCCAGATTTTCCATTAACAAGCATATTACAAGGTTTTAAATCGCAATGAATAATGTTTTCTTGGTGAAGGTATGCTAGTCCATTCAAAACTTGAGAAATGTAATTTAATCGATCATTTAACTCAAAAATATTATCACTATTTAATACAGCAATAAGTTGCGACAAGTTATTTACGTCATCTCCGTCTAAATTAACACAACAATACTCAAATCCAATAATTGAAGGCCTGAAACAATAGCCTTTAAATCGAACAACATTGACATGCTTGAGCTTTTTGAGATTTATACACATTTGTATCATTTTTTTTTTTGGTAAACTTGCCTTGAAAACTTTTAAAGCGATTGGTTTTTCACGGAAAATGTGCAAATAGATGTTGGCAAACGAACCTTCGTCAATTTTATTTGAAAAATTGAGAGGTAAATTTGGAAATTCATAATGCTTTATCAAATCTTCCATTTTCTTTACTCCTTTTTTTTTCTCAAATCGAAAAAGTTTAACCGAAAAAATACAATATTTAGTGGATTTGCGGGAACATTTTGTATAAGAGCATTTTCTGAGAATTTACAAAATACGGTGAATTTATGGGGACCCTTTCATATATAGCATTTAAGTCGACAGGAAATTTTCCGTGGAACGGAAAAGAAAAGAAAATCATCCAATCATGTAACATAAAAATCATGTAACATTAAAAATCTAAAATTTTTTTGTTACATGATTGAATGCTTTTCTTTTCTTTTCCGTTCCACGAAATATTTCCTGTAAGTGGAAATCCGCCTTAACAGGGACACCTTTCTTATGTACGAAAAATGTGGCATTTACGGGGACATTTCCTATAAGTGCATTTTCGGGGACAAGTTTCTCAGTAGCTAAAAACAAACTATACTATACAATAAATGTTGAATTTACGGGGACATTTCCTATAAGAGCACTTTCGGGGACATTTTGTTAAAATTTATTTTAACCACAGATTCGTAAAACCGTCAATTTAAAAAATCAATTACTTTTTATTTGAGAGTTTTATTTTTATTAAAAAATAAAAAACAATATTTGAGCCATTTAAGAAGCCAATTAAAAAGTTAGCTAGGACTGTATAAAATTATTTGGTTAGACCTATAGTTTTTAGCTGCATTACCTTGGGGGGGGGGGGGCATTAATGAATCTCAAATTGTTCATTTTTGGGTACAAACTGGTAAAACAAAATTAATTTGAAAAATTTACTATCTTTAGCGTCAATTTAAAAATGACTTACGTTTTGCAAACCAAAGTATTAAGAATTAAGTTATAAAAAAGTTTTAAAGCTTTTTATATTTTCTTGACATTTTTAAAGACAAAATAAAGTTTGCCTAATTTAATAAATTTTGCATAATTTATTTTACAGTTTCCTGGATTATGCTCTTTGACATGACATGAAATAGTTCATGAAACAAACTACCTCCTAATATAAAATCTCTTTATTCAATCTCTGAATTCAAAATCAAGCTTTTTAATTATCTGTTAAAAAAAATACAATTAAATATTTCTACCAACTAAAATTGACATTCTTTACTATATATGTTAATTCGTAATCCTTCAGTTTTTAATTTGATATTTTTAACATTTTGAAATTCTCTACCTATCTATCTACATCTAATTCCTCTGGTTTTCTATCTGTCATTTTTAAACTTTATTATTAAATTATCCATACTAATATTATTAAATTTAGTACCAATGGGTTGGCTTTCTTTATTTATCTATCTTTTTATCTCTTTTCATTCAACAATTCTCTATTTCTCAACTATTCTACTTTGTACTAAATCTTTGTTGTTGCCATTACTCTTTACTAAATTTTTGTTGCTGCTGTTATTGTCTTTATTTATGAAATTCTTCTCTTATTATAATTGTTATTATTTCGTTACTATTATTATTATTGTTATAATTATTACTATTGTTGTTGTTGTAGCTATTATTGTTCTTATCACAATAATTGTTATTATTGTTATTATTTTTATTATTGTTACTACTATTATTGCTATTATTGTTATTATTATTATTATTAGTAGTAGTATTAATAACAGTTATTATTATTACTTTCATCATTGACTATAACGCTACGTTGTATATTGAGGTATTTACTTTATATTAGTACTTGTACTATTGTAAACTTCCTTGAAATGTTATAACTTACTTCAAAATATATTTGATTTTGATTTTGATTTTTTGACAGAACAAGTCATAACAAGGAGGCCATTTATGATATATAAACTTAAATTAGCAATCTATTTAAAAAAAAAAAAAAATTTAAACAAACCTATATCTATCTTTTAAATTTGGACATATGGGTTTAAAAGCTTTGCACAATATTTTTTAAACGGATTTATTCAATCTTTAAACTCAAGGTTTGTCTAAAAATAGTGAAACTGATATGATCACATCTCTATATTAATTAATTTGTATTAATATAAGTATAAAGTATTAAATAATAGAACTCCGTCATGTAAAAGCGTCTAAAAATTTGTGGCTCTCGGTACAATAAATTTTATTAATTATACCTGAAATCACAAGCTATTGTACCTAAGGCCGTTCTTCAAAAAATAGGTTTAACTCCATAAGTGACAACAAAGATAGACACATAAATTATATCAAAAAATTATTTAATCTCAGATTTTTTCAACAAGTTAAACACTTAAATAAATAACAAATTTAACTAATAGTTCTGAGCAAAATTGAAAAAAAAGTCTACAATTAAATATATCAGCAGCAAAAATTTCTCTTACTCCATCAAAAATTCGTCCAATTATAACTTGCTATCGCAATGCTCTCTTAAAATCAATGTAGAAATTAAAAATAAAAAGTCTTATAACTAATCATTTGACTGGCATAACTTAAAAGTATTTATTTTTTAAATAAAAGTGAGAAGGCCTAGATACACGAACTTTTCATAAAAATGTTATTACTTCTGAGATTTTATACTTTATTCTTTATAAAGACATGCAAAAAAATATGTATTTTCGGGGACCAGTAAAAAAATGTGCATTTTTAGGGACAAACTAAAAAACAAGTTTATTTAAAAAAAAATTACTATAGCACTGATTTAAAATTGATTTTAATTCTTGCAAACCAAGGGATTCACTGCGCTCAGTGACATGACAAAAGATAGCATATAATTTATATTTTTAGAAATATTGTATTTTTTTTTTAATTTTATTATAAAGACATACAAAAAAATATGTATTTTCGGGGACCAGTAAAAAAATGTGCATTTTTGGGGACAAACTAAAAAACAAGTTTAGTTTAAAAAGTTACTACAGCGCTAATTTAAAAGCGACTTTAATTCTTGGAAACTAAGAGATTTACTGCGCTCTGTGACATAACAAGACGTAGTATATAATTTATATTTTTACAAATACTGCAATTTTTTTTTTTTAATTTTAATATAAAGTCATGCAAAAAATATGTATTTTCGGGGACCAGTGAAAAAATATGCATTTTCGGAGACAAACTAAAAAACAAGTTTAATTAAAAAAAATTACTATTGATTTAAAATTGATTTTAATTCTTGCAAACCAATAGGTTCACTGCGCTCTGTGACATGACAAGCATATAATTTATATTTTTACAAATATTGTATTTTTTTTTTTAATTTTATTATAAAGACATACAAAAAAATATGTATTTTCGGGGACCAGTAAAAAAATGTGCATTTTCGGGGACAAACTAAAAAATAAGTTTAGTTTAAAAAGTTACTACAGCGCTAATTTAAAAATGACTTTAATTCTTGCAAACCAAGAGATTCACTGCGCTCTGTGGCATAGCAAGACATAGCATGTAACTTAAATTTTTACAAATACTGTAATTTAATTTTTAAATTTAATTATAAAAACACGCAGAAAAATTTGTATTTTCGGGGACATACAAAAAATGTGCTTATTTAGGGACAAAATTTAAAAAAAAAATTAATTTTTTGTTTGTTTATCTACCGCTGATTCAAAAATGACTTCAAATTTTGCAAACCAAAAGATTAACTGTGTTCTGAGATATTACAAGACAAAATGTAATCCCTATTTTTATCAATACTGTAAATTTACACTTTAAATACTGTTAAAAACAAAATATAATCCCTATTTTTACCAATACTGTAAATTTACACTTTAAATTGAGTTCATACCTTAAAAAACAGAGTGAAAAAATGTAGCATACTTTGCTTTGATTCATAAAAGATTTGATTTATAAACAATTTTTACAAACCAAAAGAACAACTATGCTCTTTGAATTAACAAGGTTTAAAAACAAGGCCATTTATAATTTTTATTTAAATTAATTAGCATCTTGGTTTTCTAAAAATTAGTTAACACAAAATTAATTCAATTCAGTGAACTTGATTGAGGATTTTTAAAATTTAGTGTAATTAAAGAGAGCTAAAATCTTCTTCTCCCTTCCCACATAGAAAAAAAATTATATCATTTGCTTAAAAAATAAAACTGTTTTCATTTTAAATTAAATTAAATTTTTTAAATGATTTTAAAAACAAAAATACATTTTTTTTGGTACAAAAATGAAAAATAATAGTAAATCAAAAATAAAGGTAAAATCTTCAGTATTGAAAATAAATTTAAAATGTAAAAAGAATTAAAAAACCTTTAAGAAAATCTTAGAATCTTGGTTCAGATATAGTTACTCCAATATACCCAGTGACAGATTCAGGATTTTTAGGAGCTAACTTTCATACATAGAGCTAACTCCAAACAGTAGTATGTTTATAATTATGTCAAATGAGGCTGTGCAAAAAATTGCGACAAATGGAGGCAAGGACTGAAAAACCCCTTTGACTTCATTGAACAAACGTGAGGGGCAACAATTTGTTAAAATTTTTTTTGTACTTTTCTCAATTAGATTTATATTCATTGATAAACTTTAAGTTTCAAAGTATTATCTCTGAGCGTTCAAAAATTATGACCATATAAAGTTTAAACTCCTCTCAATATAAGAGGGTTACAATATTATATGATCATAAATTTTGAACGCTGTAAGATAATATGAAACTTGAAATTTTATCGATGAATACAAATCTAATTAATAAAATTAAATTTTTTTTTTATCAAATTGTTGCCTCTTATGTTTAGGGTAAGGAGGGAAAGGGGGTAAAAAGTTGAAGGGCTTTTTTTGTTACCTGCCTCCAATCATCGCAATTTTTTGAACAAACTCATTATTTGACATAAGTATAAACATACTTATGTTTGGAGTTTGCTCCATGTCTGGAAGTTAGCTATCTCAATCACCAAAAAATCCTGGATCAAATCAATTTTTTAATTGTATCTCTATTTATTTATGAATCTGATTATTTTATTTTTCTCAATTAGTCTTTTTAAATTAGTTGCTAAGTAAAAAAAGCCCTGAAAATTATTAGAGTTAAAGCTAATAATAATATTCAAAATTTAAAAAGACTAATTTAGAAAAATAAAATAATCAGATTCATAAATAAATAGAGATACAATTAAAAAATT